GGGGCGCCTGGGCGGCTCGGACAGTTAAGCGTCTCACAGTTCATGGGTTCGAGCCCCACATCGGACTCTGTGCTGACAGTGGGAGCCTGGAGCCTGCTTTGGATTCTGTGTCTCCCTCTCTCTCTCTGCCCCTCCCCTGGTCATGCTCTGTCGCTCTCACTCTCTCTCTCAGAAATAAAAAAAATTAAAAAATCCACACGAGTCCGGCACCGAGGGCGAAGGGAGGCTCCGTTACCATCCAGATCTTGGTGGCGCGGCTCATCTTGCCGTGCTGGGCAAACATCCAGCCGTGGTAGGACAGCAGCACCTTGAGAGAGTAGCGCATGGTGATGATGAGGGCCACCCACAGCCCCGTGCCGAACAGGAGGCCGCTGACCACGTTCTTCGTCTGGCTGGACATGTAGCCGCTAGGGAGACGAGACAAGCCGAGAATGCATTACGCACTGCCAGCCAGAGCAGCCTCCCCTCGACACCAGTGACACTCTGGACCCCGAACCAAAGGGAGGACGCTAGCCTGGGTGGCTCGGTCAGTTAAGCATCCGATCTCACGGTTCGTGAGTTTGATCCCCATGTCGGGCTCTGTGCTGCCAGTGAGGTCTCTCTCTCTCTCTCTCTCTCTCTCTGCCCCTCCCCTGCTTGCATGCACACTTGCTCTCTCTCAAAATAAGTACACACTTTTCAAAAGAATTGCTAGAAGAGTAGATCTTAAAAGCTCTCTCCGTAAGAAAAAAAAATTTGTACCTATATGGGGAGATGAATATTAATTAGGCTGGTGGTAATCACTTAAAGGTATATGCACCTACCAAATGATGTTATACACCTGAAACTAACATGACGTTATACGTCAATTGTATCTCGTATCTCGTTTTTTTAAATGATTTAAGTGTGCTTCAAATTATTAACACAACCAATATACAGAAGCTAAAGGTACTTCCAATATTGAAAAACCGCCAAGTTAACACCTTATCGTGCTTAAGTGACATTGAAACTAATTATCTTCAAGGTAAAATACTTTTGCTCCAAAATTTGTGTCTTTCTATAAGCCGTCAAATCCTGTGTTTAAGCTTGGGGTGCCCAGGTGGCTCAGGAGGTTGTGTCTGACTCTTGGTTTCAGTTCAGGTCATGATCCTACCATTCGTGAGATCGAGCCCCATGTGGGGTTCTGCACTGATAGCATGGTCCCTGCTTGGGATTCTCTCTGTCTCCCTCTCCCTCTCTCACCCCCTCTGCCCCTCCCCCACTCGGGTGCTCTGTCTGTCTGTCTCTCTCTCAAAATAAATAAATAAACTTAAAAAAAAAAATCTTGTGTCCAAGTTTAACTATAGCCTCTGCTTTATCTCTACACTTTCTTTTCGGATAGTGTAATCTATAAGCCAGCTTAGATCTAGGCATTTAAGAACCTATCTCTCAGATCATCTACGCTTTGGATTAAGTCCTACATCACTGAAGGAAAAGACACATACCTGTTAGGTCCACAAAAATTGGAGAGTATCATAA